ATCCACATTTACGATGTTTGCATTTCAAGGAACATCGAGTCAGTTCTGTACAAATCATTGCTATATAATGTGTTTGGGGGAGGTTATGTAGTATGGGTCCACCAATTAATTTCATCATAATGAAAAATGGGAAAACAAGAAATCCCCATGACTCAGTTTGGTTTTAAATGATCTAATTATAATTCATTTCACGTTCAAACATGACTCTTGGTTTGGAAATCCATTCCATTTATTTCTCTAGGTAAGCACAAATAATGTATTGGAAAAAAAATATGGGGAACTCTGCATGTTCTGTTAGAAAGGGAAACAAGAAGTAAATCGGTTACCTTCACAAAATGAGTGTTAAGTTTTGAGTTATTGTTGTTCCTTTTTGAGCTGTTTTACTCTATGAGCATGTAAAATGGGAGTGAAAGTCTTCAGTGTCTGTCCCTCCTGCTAGCCCCAGTTCTACTTCTGGCTGGTTAAGTAGCTGGACTTTGGAGCCAGATCGACCAGGGTTGGGTCCAGCTCCATCACTTCCCAGCTGCACGGCTCTGGGCAAGTTGCCCATCTAAGCTTCTCATCTTAAAAATGGGGGTAAGAATAGGACTCAGCTCCTAAGGTTATTGTGAGGATTCAAGGAGATCATGCGATTAATCTTTTTGAATAGTGGCTGGCATTTAGTATGTACTCAGCTAATATTGAGTAATGTTAATATTTATTTTAATATTAGTAGTTACATTTGATAGTCTGATTGTATTTTAGCGAAGGCATTGCATATATATATTATATATATAGTCTTATTGTATTTTAGCGAAGGCATTGCATACATATATTATATATATACATATATATACAATACAATATAGACTATCAAATATATACAATAAGACTATCAAATATATATATACAATAAGACTATCAAATATATATATATTTACTAATATATATACAAATATATATACATATATATATACATATCAGTATATATATATACTATCAGATAGGAAAATATCTGCTTCCTTTGATGTCCTATTTTCCAGTGATGTTGAAAATGAAGATCAGAAAAAACTCTAGAGTTCTCTGATTTCACCCCTGAATAACGGGAAGTAATTAAATGTTCCCTGCAAAAAATTTTAATTCTAGTATTCAATACCAGAAAAGAAAAAAAAACAACCCTATTTACTTTCCAGATAGAGATGCAAACAAAAATAAAACACAGCTGCTGTTACTGCTCCATGGGCACCATCTCTACTTGGTACCAAGAGAGATAATGATCTTGCAGTATAATTTTATAAGGAGATAATGAAATCAATTACATTATCTCAAGGCTAAACACTGAAGGCCTTATCCCATTGCTGGTTAAGATGGACTGTAACTGTGGCAGCTGCTCACCCACCGTTATAGATTATTTTGGATGAGAGAAAACATGGGCTAATAAATTAAGATTTGACAACATAGGAGTGTCGATGGCCTTACAGTTTGATATTCAAGAATGAAAGCAGCAATACAATTGATGGATAAAAATTCAACACAAAGCAACCACGGACATGAGTGAAGGCAGTGATAAACAATTTGGTTCATTTTTATTATTAAATTGTAAAGTTTTCACAAAAGCTTAGAAAAAAAAAATCTGCAAACCGTTTGGGTCCACTGAAACTCCATGTGATCTTATAAAATATTATGAACCACAAAAATAAGAGGCTAAGAAGAAATATAGGAGGCTGTCGGGATATGTTTCTATTAATTATAATGACTATAGAGTTAGTAGGATTCCTTCCAAGGCATGGTGATTGAAGTAGATAACATCTTTTGTTGTTATGATACTTAAACTTTATAGAAAAGATTAATTTATAGACATTCAACCCATTAAATAAAATCAATAATTATGAACTTCTATAACCAAGTCCGTGAAATTTCAGGGCCAGAAAATCTGCTTTATAAATAAGTGAATTCAACACTGACACAAGTTGCGTGACCTTGGGCAAGTTCCTTATCTAACTCTTTCAGAATAATCATAAATACCAGGTAGTATCATATTAAATAAGTGTGCTAAAATTGTGCTTATTAGCACATAGTAAAAACTTGAATATAAATGATAAGAGGCTTCCTTTCTGCTTCTTTTCTCACTCTTAAGTTTTTTACAAGTTTATATGCTTCTTTTCTTTCTTTTTGAAAAATGATTTTTATTTTAGCTTGATCTAGTGACTCTGTACTATTTATTCCAGTTATCTTGCAGTGTATAATTATTCTAGTCTCTATATCTTAAATTTAACATGCATTTTAACAGACACTCTGTCCAAAAGAAAAGTCATTGGAATAACCCTTGTTTTCCTTTGCTGTGCTAGGAAAGTTGGCAGAGTTAACCATAAGACAGTTTAATCAATAGAAAAGGGCTTACAAATTCATGAGTAGCAACGATATGATGTAATTTCTTACTTGTTTTTCCTTGTCTCATTTCCTTTAAGTTTCTCATTACCTTGTATTTTAAATAAAGCAAAACCTGGCTCACGGTTGGCATCTAGTAAGTGTTTGTTGAATCGAGAAGGAAGGAAATTAATATTTTAATTGTGACCAGAGGCAACAAGCTCCTCGATGGAAGCTGAACAGACAGTCATTAAATTATGCTGATTAGGAAACATCTGCCACCTGCTTCTCGTATTCATATGAAGAACTACTTGGGTTAATTTCTTAGGTTAAAGTAAGTACATTATAAGGGGAAGCTGAGTAATATATATAGCATTTTTTTGTCTATAGTTAAGGTTCCAATGTTAAAAGGACCTTAGAGGAGATGGCTCAACCTCCTTAGTTTATTACCAAGAGGAGTTACCAAGGCCCTGAGAGTGTAAATGGGCCCATCCCGAGGTGCTGAGCATCAAGAGGAGGTCATTTCCTATTCTTCCCATTTGAATCTTGCCCAAGAGCACTTGTTTTACTGAAACTTCCATCTGTTCCAGGGGCATTTAGATATCTACCAAAACTATACGGAAAGGTTAAGACTGTGGTTGAGAAGATCAGCTTTTGGGTCAGAGAGACCTGTTTTGTTTTTTTTTTTTTTTAATTTTTTTTTCAACGTTTATTTATTTTTGGGACAGAGAGAGACAGAGCATGAACGGGGGAGGGGCAGAGAGAGAGGGAGACACAGAATCGGAAACAGGCTCCAGGCTCCGAGCCATCAGCCCAGAGCCTGACGCGGGGCTCGAACTCACGGACCGCGAGATCGTGACCTGGCTGAAGTCGGACGCTTAACCGACTGCGCCACCCAGGCGCCCCGAGAGACCTGGTTTTTAAATCCGTTCACTACTTACTAGCTCTGTGACTTTGGACGCAAATTACGTAATCTCTCTATGCCTCAGTGTTTTTATCTGTAAAGAGGGGTTGATAAACTTCCGTCATCTTCGATGGAAATAACAAAACTTCATAGATTATTATTGATGATAAACATGATAATGTATAAAAAGGACTTATCACCAAGCCAGGTACATATGAAGTGATTGGTACACGTAAACTGTTATTATAATATAAATGAGAAGTGGAGAAGAAAGTTGAAGGGAAGTGATGTAGGCAAGGATAGGCCTGTGTTTTGCTAATAGTGGGCCATCGATACGGCTGCAAGCTTCCTTACAGCCAACGTGGAGAAAGAAACATGATTGATTACATACTTCACAGAGAACTTTGCCATATTAATTATGTATCTCTGGCCAAACCAGAGCCACATTCCTCCAGCCCAATCTTCTGAATTTCCAAACAAAATCTCTTTCTACCAGACACGGCAGTATAGGTTCCTGAGACTTGACGGATTACAGTAAGGGCTGTCCAACTTTGGCCAAGACTCTCTTAGCGTTTCCCACAGAGACCCCCAGCTTCTTGATCACACCTGTAGGAGAGAACCTGGCCAAGGGTCTTCCACTCAGCACATGTTGTTCTCAGGAAGGCCTTGGACCTTGGAGGAGGCCAGGAATGAATTTGGGGTTATGTAGCTTATTCCTCTCACCCATGTCAGGAGCTCCTTAACTGCAGGAACCAGCCTTATTCATCTTTACAGATTTCCTCATCGCCTCTGACAGTGAATGGCAGACGCTCAGTAAATGTTTGTGAATTGCAGGAATGAATGGACATGTGTGGTGGAATTGCTGGTATGAAAAACCTGCTGTTTTAGGGCCGGGCTGTAACAGAGTGATTCTTTCCAGCAGTATGAATCTGTCACTCAGCTCTGAGGATGGCGCTCAAGGTTTGAATCTTAGTATTTAAAGGAAAAATAAAATCTATATGAAAATGAACTCTTCTTTCCTGGGTACTGATGTTTAAAGACTTGTGTTATTAAATGTAGAAATGAGATAGAACTGGTTTTCTTCAAAAAGGAGAGAAGTACGATTTGAGCACCTCCAGTATCTTTCAGAATAGGTAGACTAATCAATTACCTTTCAAGACACGTACATTATTATAAGTCATGGAAAGTCACGGCCCGAACCTCATGTTTCAAAAAGATAGTATTTACGCTTTGCTTGGGATATCACCTACAGAGGAAATGTGGAAAAGGTTATGCTGTCATGAAAATGTCTTAAATCTGCTTATTGAAATTGTTGTAAAATGCCCTAAAATGTCTTTAGAAAATATTTAAAGTTGCTTAATTTCACGTGATATTTTTCCGTGTGTTTGTTAGAGTTAAGTATCAATTTATTTTCTCTGAATAACCATGCCCAAACCAGTCACCCTGGAGTCTCCTCATTTATCCAACTTAATGAAATTGGGTGAAAGCTATGCTGGCACTTATTCAATGTAGTGTTTCTCTTTCGTACTTGCTTGTGATTAAGGATCTCACTCCAATTTAATTTACAGGCTAGGAATCTTTTAAATGTTAAAGAGGAAAATAAATGAAAACATTGTTTGACTAAACTGGGGCTCACACAGAGCTAGTTGACTTGTTTCCATATGCTGTATCTAAGCCTGGATTCATATTGTAGAATAGGGTTTTATTTGACCAAAATAATAAATCCTTGTAACCCCCCTTTTTTTCCCAGCCCCTTTGCTCTTACCCTGTCTGAAGCCAACATGTCACTGAAAAATGAGCCAAGAGTAAATACCTCTGCACTGCAGAAAATCGCTGCTGACATGAGTAATTTGATAGAAAATCTGGACACACGGGAGCTGCACTTTGAGGGAGAAGAGGTGGATTATGATGTGTCTCCCAGCGATCCCAAGATACAGGAAGGTAAAGACTGGTGGTCTGAGCGAGAAGAGAGTTTCTCAGAGTTGCCTGGCAGAGAGCAGATTTGAAATAACCAGCAAATGATTGATCATCCTTGCTGATGTCCTACCCTGGGCTGAGACCATTTTACTAGCTGTATTCTTGTTGTAGCAGGTTATGATTCTTAAACAGATGCCCATAAAAGGCGAGTTATGCTAATATCGTGTATTCTTACAATATCATTGTGTCCTTGCAATAACTTTATTTACTTGTTTATTTTTTAGTGTGTATTCCTTTCTCTGCTATTTATAAGACTCAAGGATTTAAGGAGCCTAATATACAGACGTATCTCACCGGCTGTCCAATAAAAGCCCAAGTTTTGGAAGTGGAGCGCTTTACATCTACAACAAGGGTCAGAGCATTTATGGACTCACCTTTTTTGTTCCACGTATACCAATTAACACACTGACTTCCATTTCCCTTCCTCATAGCTATGATATGTTTTTAGCTTTTTTTTTTTTTTCAAATAACTCGTCAGTCCTATTTACCTCTCAAGAATTTGCTTTCCGTTGAGTCTTGATTCTCCTATGCCTTTTTCCTCATTCTGGAAAATGCTTTTTTTTTTTTTTTTAAATATGCACCTAAGGCAATTTATAACTTTAATAAATTGCTGAGTGCCACTCCTAGTCCTCCTCTCTCCTCGATTTCCTGTTTAACGTGGGCTCTTGGGGCATCACCATTCCATCTAGACCGTCACATAGAAGCCAAGGAAGAGTTTAGCTTTCCTAATGCTGGTTTAGCAAGAAAATAATGATGCTGCCTGGCTCTTGAAAGAAAAAGAAAAAAAACCAGGACGTTGGACCCACCAGTGTCATCACCCAGAGACAGTGCTGAGAGAATACTGCTGGCATCTTCTGCTGCTCTCTGATCTGTTCCTGGCACCTGTCCTTTAGGTCTGTTCGTGGGGCCTGAGTGCTGGAAGGCGGCTTCCATGAAGATGACTTCATCAAGCAAAGCATCACTCTTTGGTGTGGATTAGACTAGGTTGTGAGGGGAGCCACCATTGCTCTGTTACTGACTGTACATCACAGTTGTCAGTCTGATAAGTAGAGGGCATTGCCGCAGGCAGGTGGCCTTTGTCCCTTCAGGTTGAGCTCTGGCCACGGCAGACTAAGGCCACCTTTGCTCCTGCCTCAGGGGAAGTGTAGAACAGCCTTTCTCCAGAGACAGGTTCTGTCTGCCTTTCCTCCTTGTCTTTTGCAGAGTGGCATGTGTTACCTGGGTCCTGATAGTTTTGCTTAGTGGCCTGTCCTGACCTACCTGTGTGTATGTTCTGACTCCTAACACCCACCTTTGTGTGCAGCCTTTCCTTTAGGCCCTTTATATGAAGGGGGGTCTCTACCTCCCTGATATACCACTGAGCACAATGCACTCAGAAATGTCTTTAATGTGGCCTTTGCCTTCTTAGTTTGCCTACCAGCTTTTAGCTTCAGAGGGGATACGCATGCTCAGAGGGTGAAATGCACAGACTCCAGGGCCAGACTGCATGGTTGAAATCCTGTCTTTGCTTTGTGATCTCCAACAAGTTACTTAATCTTTCTGTTTGTCAGTTTTCACATGTGAATAATGCTAAATAATGGATGTAACGGTGCCCACCGTATAGGTTTCTTATGAGGACTTAATAATAATAATAATACACAGCATTATGCAAGGGTATTGCATATTGTATTGTTGGGGAGCAAGAATGTTCTGTCTGTTTCCAAGATCCTCCTAGCTGGACTAAGACTCAAATTGACATGAGACCCATTAACATGGGTCAAATTTGATTTCATTAAGTATGGGCAATCCACACAGACGTGGAAATTCCAAAGACAGGCACGTCTGGGACTTCAAAGAGAAAGAATGCAATTCACAGGGAGATGACAAAGAGCAAATGTTTGGTAACAAATGTTTACCAGGCCACTTGGAAATAGTGGGACATATGGAGGACTTTGATCAAACAGGCCTTGCTAGTTCTTCCCTGTCTACCATAGCTGGTTCATCGTATAATCTGTGATGGTGGCTCTCCTCCTGGAGTGGGTCCTCTAGCTCAATTCTTTCTAGGCGCTTGAGGGGGAGGTAAAGAGCTTTTCCTGGGTCTGCTGGGTTTTGACTGGTTTTTAACTCAAAGTAGTCTTCATGACAAAGTGGCCCATCTTGGGGTGGCCCATCCTTGGCCCTTATAGTATTACATAAGCATACACTAATACTACATATTATTATTAATAGTAGGTGTCTCCTAAGGTTATTCACAAAGATAAATAAATATTCAGGACCCCCAAACCAGGGACTTCTCTGTGCTTGGACTCTTCTTCTGTTAGTTAGGTGAGATTGGTTTAGTCCTATTCTAATCTGAGTCTGTGTGAGAAAGCTAAGGATCATCTTTTTAAATTTCTTTTTAATGTTTATCTATTTTGAGAGAAAACGAGAGACAGCACACACGTGCATGCAGGAGATGGGCAGAGAGAGAATGCTAAGCAGGTTCCGCACTCTTACTGCAGAACCTGATGTGGGGCTTGATCTCACACTGTAAGATCCTGACCTGAGCTGAAATTAAGAGTCGGATGCTTAATTGACTGAGTCACTGAGGCGCCCCGCTAAGGATCATCGTTATCCTACTTCGTGTTTAGTTTACTAAGAAATATGAACTAAAGTCATGCAGTATAAATGTGATTCCAGGTAAATAAAAACACACTTTTTCTAATTACTGAACACATTCTATGTGCTAGCTCAAGGCAAGGCCCTTCTCTTTTCATTTCTGTGACAGCCCAATGAGGTAGGTGTTCTTCAGGCCCTCTCAGGCTGGAGATCTTCCATTTGCCCTCCAGTGCCTCCTCCTACCTTTTTCTACCCTGTGCTCTGCCCCTCAGGGCTCTCTGCTTTTGTCCTCTGGTAGGGCTCAGACAGTGAAGAGCCCAGATAGGAGATTGGGGTTACCTTGGGCTGACTGGGTCAAACCAAAGGCACCCCTTTCCCCAAGGCAGCCATCCTTACATGGTTCTCTCCTTCTTGTTCCAGTACCTGGCCCTGCATCTTGTTCCTTCAGGACTAGGAATGCCTTCAGAGTCCTAGGTTACTGTCCTTCCTTTATTGTTTCCTTACCCCTATCACATCTTTATAAGCAGTCCCTTTATTAAAACTCTTCAGATTATTCCAATTCCAGAGAATTCCAGTAATTCGGCTGGGATGTTGTCTGACAGAAGTGACGCTTGGCTGAGGCATCACAGCTGGTAGGCTGCACCACAGGGTTTCAGACCTTTAAAATCTTCAAGAAGGATGTGGCAGCTTGTTTTCATCGTATCATATCACCTGACAATTGCTAAGAAGTTTGGTGTACAAAGTCTTGTATTTATATGTGAGGGATAAAACTTGGCATTTGAAAAAGTTTTGAAGTATTCAGTTTTTGTAGATTGGTAAATATAATCCTTGGAAATGTAGTAGCTTTCCTAAATTGTATAATTTTTCTTATTTATTTGGTTCATCTTAAATTGAGCATTTTTCACTTGAATGCAAAGTTTCTGGCCACTCAGAATTTTCCTGCATTCTTCTCTGTGACACATGATGGAGGATGACACCTGTAGTAATGTAAAAGTGAACGTAAAGTAAAAGGCAACATATAATATTGAACCCCAGAACTGTTTTTTTTCTACTTCCGGTTGTAGTAATTGTCATGAATCCTAACTAGAGGAGAAGCAAATGCTACATTTGAATATTTACGAGTGATATGGCTGGATTTCAGACTTAAGAGCACAAGTTGCATTGATACTCTTGCTCATATTTTATATAGTAAAGCATGGCCACTCTGTGTAGATGTAGAAGTTAGCAAAATAGGACTGTGGGGGACGCCTGGGTGGCTCAGTTGGTTAACCATCCGACTTCAGCTCAGGTCATGATCTCGTGGTTCATGAGTTTGAGCCCCTCATCAGGCTCTGTGCAGACAGCTCAGAGCCTAGAGCCTGCTTTGGATTCTGTGTCTCCCTCTATCTCTGCCCTCCTCAACTTGCTCTCTGTCTCGGTCTCTCTCTGTCTCTCTCAAAAACAAATGAACATTAAAAAAAATTTAAAAAGATTAAAAAAAAATAGGACTGAGGGCCAGGAATCACGCATGTGGTTGCTGACACGAGAGCCTGGATAAATAAAGTAGCAGAGGAGACATTTACTTTCTCTACCCCCAACATCTTTGGTGCCTAAATCTTCCAGGAAGGGCCAGTGTCCTTTGGGTAGTCCAGAGTGCCCACTGCCTAGCCACCCTACACGCCATCCCCCTGTCCATGGAACTTCCTTCAAGATCTCCTCCGCTTTATAAACATCCCTCAGCTTCCTCACACTTTGTACTGTATCAAAACTATCCCCCAGGCCTGTTAGTTCTGACTGAAATCATTACCAAGATATATTTGCATTTTAATAAGAAATATTTTTTTAAAATTTTAAATGGGGATTCATTTTAGTTAAGTAATTGGGAAAAATATTTTGTGCGTAGTCTTTCACTTTTTCCCTCTAATCATCCTGTACCTTGTTGGTCACTGGTGGTCCTTCAGAGCAAGGAGATGTTGTAGACAGGGGTGGACCTTGGAATATGTTTCAGAAGGAGAAGGCATTAATGTCATCTGTGAAGGACAAGTCGCTGGCTAAGATCATGCTCCTGGAATCCATTTCCTCCAGCTTTCCTCTCACCTGCTCCAGTGGTCTGTTCACTGTTTATACTTTGGGACAAGCAAAATCACCGCTGATATCTAATTAGGGTCTTCACTCATTGTCTCCTTTAGCTGATTTCTTGTTTCAGGGCTGTGTGTGTGTGTATTTAGAGCAATACGACTTGTGGAAGTTTATCTTTGGTGTGATTCAGAGTTTGTCTTATGTATATTATATACATTATATATATATATATATAATATATATATGTAATATATATATATATGGAAATTTTATTTCTGTAACCACTTGTTTTAGGAAACATTTTGTCTGAGCTATTGTTCATTGAAAGACTTTAGACTTTGTTATCTAAAATATCAATCATTTTTATTGATCACTGTAGGTACCAAGTATCAATCTTTACACTATTGAATTAACACATGGGGAATTTAAATGGCAAGTTAAGAGGAAATTCAAACACTTTCAAGAATTTCATAGAGAGCTGCTCAAGTACAAAGCTTTTATCCGAATCCCCATTCCCACCAGAAGGTAACTGTTTCAGAATTAATTATAAAGTTATCCCAGTATGCAAGCTGGATGGAAAGAGTATTTTATCTATATTATGGGCTAACTTGTCCGTTGTTGGTGGATATTTCTATTAAACAGGCTCTTCTAAAAATAAACATAAAATGCTTTTATGCTCATATTTATGCTTTCATTTAAATGAGAGTAATACTCAAAGAATAATAAATGTTTCCATTTTGTGTGTGTGTGTGTGTGTGTGTGTGTTAGGCACACGTTTAGAAGACAGAATGTCAAAGAAGAGCCTCGAGAGATGCCAAGTTTGCCCCGTTCATCTGAAAATATGATCAGAGAAGAACAATTCTTCGGTAGAAGGGTAAGCCCTTTCAGTCTTCTGTTGTTCAAAATATAATTTTGCAGTGCTATAGAAACATGGCGGCTCCTGGGAGGTGAGGGGGACCTGGCTGCAACTTTTCTTTCCCCCGATCCCTCACACAGGCTAGCTTAGCATCTTTGGAACTTGTTAGGCAGCCTTCTTCTCCAGGTCAGAATGGCTGCACTCAGAATGGTTGCATTTCCCAGAAGAGGAAGAGTGTTCTATGAAGAAGTTTTCCTCTGCAGGAACCTCTTTGGGCTGGTTGTGAGTCAAGCTTGAGCTCACCATTGAGGGTTTTGAGATATACTCCTTTAAAAGCATTTATTTCTACCCGTTTGCTCCAGACTTCATAGTAGCTTGTCCCAAGTATATGTGAAGTCTAATTACCAAACTATAAGTGGGCCCTTAGGGTCAGAGAAGAGTAGGACAGAAGCCCCAGGAGCAGGTGCTCTGCCTCAGTGATATGGTGCCGCACAGGGTAGAAGATGAATTGTTTTTCAGTAGAAAATTAACAAGGAGGGGAGCCTGGGTGGCTCAGTCAGTTAAGCGGCTGACTTAGGCTCAGGTCATGATCTTGCGGTCTGTGAGTTCGAGCCCCGTGTCGGGCTCTGTGCTGACAGCTCAGAGCCTGGAGCCTGCTTCGGATTCTGTGTCTCCCCCTCTCTCTGACCCTCCCCTGTTCATGCTCTGTCTCTCTCTGTCTCAAAAATAAATAAAAGTTAAAAAAAATAAAAAAAAAAAAAAAGAAAATTAACAAGGAAATATCAGCTCTGTTTTGTAATCTGAAACTTTTATCCTGAAAGGGATATTTGACTTCTCCTTTGTATAGTTGTCATCTTGTTTAAAATCCTTTTAGGGATCTAGAATACATATTGTCCATGTATCATGGAAAATGATACAGTTTGGGGTTACTGTGTGCACTTACATGAAAATGCAGCTGAAAATGAGAAGCTGTGGCTTTAACAGTGTATCCACACATCATCATAGTCGATGTGATTGTCATTAACCTCTCACATTTGACCATATTTGAAATCAGAATATAAGTACTAGAAAGTGTCTCTCTCTCTCTCTTTTTAAACTTCCCCCCTTTCCCCCTGAAGAGATGTTAAAAAAAACTGCAGTATATCTACCAGTAGTAAATTCAGTGTTGAAATTAAGGAAATCGAGGTTTTTGATAAAATCAACAAATGCCTTAAAACAGTCTACTATGGGCAAGTCCTGTGCTAGTAATTATGGAAGATTGAACGAATATACAGCTTGGGCCTCTTCAACAGTTTGTAAAAGACCTAAGCACATGAAAAGTTGAATAGCAGGAAGCAATTTAAATAAAAGTTCAGGGGAACTATGGAAATAACTCCTTAGTGCTATTCAAGATTCCTTGTCCACTGATAATATGAACAAATAATTGAATAAATTGCAGAAGTAAAGATTGGATAATGGTCACACCACTGTCACTGTTTAAAAATTTAAGTATGAGGACATTATCTCTTCTCTCCTATATTTGTGTTACAGAAACAACTGGAAGATTATTTGACAAAGCTACTGAAAATGCCCATGTATAGAAACTACCATGCAACAGTAAGTACCGTTCAGTGACTTAAATTTTGAAGTACTTTGTAAAAGCATAAATCGGCTGCTAAATTTTGGATCATTTTATCAACACAAGTGCTTGTATCCACTTGTGCGTTCCTCGGGTTAAAATTAATGAAGTGAATGAAAAGTTGATTTGACGGCAATAATCTAGTTCACAGTGATGTTGTTTTTAAAAATATCAACTATAAATTGATGTGTCTAGATGAATTTGTAACTCTGGTCTAGGCTAGATTATCTAGAAATCAATGCCCTTCTCTTCCCAGGTTTCCAGGATAATGCCCCAAAGCATTTCTAACCCTGAAGAAAAAAACCAAAAAAAACACTGAGTATAAGTGATGAAAACAGCTGAGCAGAGTTGAATACCCAAAGATTAGACAGAGCGTAGTGCTTGGTTGGCCATCTGATTGGCCTGCGATGCTTATAAAGGGCCTGTCTTTTCATGTGAAAGTGAGAAGCATGGGAAAAGCTAGGGAGAGAAAAAACTCCCGAGAAATAAGAGAAAAGAGGTGGTGGGGCTTAGAAGCAGCTGGGAGGCACACAGCTGGCAAACAGAAGGGGGTGGGCTTTTATAGAAGTTCTCAGAAAACAATAAGCTCAGCCCTTTTAGAGGCCTTGGAGGTGGGGTGTTTTTAAAGGGTTCACCTTCAATTATCAAAAGTCCAGGTAACTGAGACAATATTGGATTATTGTGTTTTTGTGTCTGTGTCTTATAAACTGTACTGCTGTGGGGTTGAACATACGCATGTGGTGTATGTGGAACTTAAGGACAGACACGGATATGTCCTACAAGATGTGGCCTCCAGTTTAGAGAGTGGTGGCACATAAGGGAAGTTGTCTGTGTATTGAGGAAAGGAAGCAAGAGCACCTGGACTCTTTGGAGTTTTCCGGTGACTTGCTGCCCGCCAGGGTATTATTTGGAGGCCGGGACGTGTACCCGGCTGGTCCCCTTTACACACAAAGGATCCGGGGCCGAGCCACAGTCCCCCTTCTACAGCAGTTTGCTGTATGTCTGTTTGATGGACTTGAAGGAGCGTATGCGGTTTCGTAATCCTGGAGAAGTATTTTCCCAGGGAGACTGGCAACATGGGTCCAACCAGAGGATCTCAAGAGGAGGAGGGTGGGAGGGATTTCTTCCCTCCTAGGACTCAGGAATGTGCATCTTTGAAAGAGTATAACGAGTAAGGATATTACTGCTATTATTTACAATTAGTTAACTGCTATTTCTCCTGCTAAAAATGCTGCTTCCTGTCGTGCTCTCTGAAATCACATATGCTGTTTTCTTTAATAGAGATTTATTTAAATGTGTACTAGTACCAGTATGCAATAATTTTCTATTTGTTTTACTGTTCTGCCTGCCTGTGACTTTACTTGTACTATTTCTTGTGGCTTTGAAACAGTGATTGCTGAGTTTAGTCTTCTCTTTCTATGGGTAGTACTACATTTTGGATTCTAATGCTGATTAAATGATGATTACCTTTTTTTAAATGTTCATTTTAATTTATTTTCCAATCATAAAACATTTTCCAAAGTTGAGCCATAGTGTATCTGGAAATTCTAGAATGTCTTCTAAACATTTCCTTGGAGAGGGAAAACCTGGTTACAACTCACCTAATTTATGTTACTCCACATTTTTTTTTTTAAATTTTTTTTTCAACGTTTTATTTATTTTTGGGGGGACAGAGAGAGACAGAGCATGAACGGGGGAGGGGAAGAGAGAGAGGGAGACACAGAATCGGAAACAGGCTCCAGGCTCTGAGCCATCAGCCCAGAGCCCGACACGGGGCTCGAACTCACAGACCGCGAGATCGTGACCTGGCTGAAGTCGGACGCTTAACCGACTGCGCCACCCAGGCGCCCCATTACTCCACATTTTTGATGGCAACTTATTTACCCCAAGAACAGAATTCTCCAAAATGATTCAAACTTTTGTAAGATACAGTTTGATCTATCTTAATTTTCTTTCTTTCTTTCTTTCTTTCTTTCTTTCTTTCTTTCTTTCTTTCTTTCTTCCTTCCTTCCTTCCTTCCTTCCTTCCTTCCTTCCTTCCTTCCTTCCTTCCTTCCTTTCTTTCTTTCTTTCTTTCTTTCTTTCTTTCTTTCTTTCTTTCAACATTATATAACTTTCCTGTGAGGCACTGTGGCCTGGAGACTAGATTTATGGGCTTTTGCCTCATATTTGTCAAATTAGATTGGCATCTTTGTGTCTCCTTTGATAACTGTGAGAAATATTAAAACTCTTATCTATAAAATCATATTAAAAGTTATTTTTATACAATCATATATAATTAACTTATTTTTGTAAGTGTAAAGCAAACCTATTAGAAATTAATTTGGGTTTTTAGGCCAGAGGTCATGGATCATAGGTCAAGGGATCAGATAGGATCATATCTCAAATTTCAATAAAATTTCAGTGAAATTAGACATGGACAACTTTTCTTATTTTCATATGGTCATTGGTTAAGTTGGTATTTAGATATGTAACTTTTTATTCAGGAGAATGACTTAAAAAAATTTTTTTAATGTTTGTTTATTTTTGAGAGACAGAATGTGAGTGGGGGCGGGGGCAGAGAGAGAGGGAGACACAGAATCTGAAACAGGCTCCAGGCTCTGAGCTGTCAGCACAGAACCTGATGTGGGGCTTGAACTCACGAACTGTGAGATCATGACCTGAG